CTCTATTACGAGACCCTGTGGTTGCTGGGATTTGCCTCCCACCTGGTGGCCAGGACAATTTGACAGAATTATCACCATTAAAATGTATGCTGCTCTTTGCATTAATTGCATATGAACTGTGTATTAAAAAGTGCCGAAAGGGCATATATATTTTAATGTGGTAAAAATCAAATAATAATGCCATAAAATAAATCAATTGGAAATGCTGTCAATGAAAATGGGCAAAATGAAAAGGTCTATAGCAACCACATGTATAAAGAAAAAGAAATGAAAAGGGGCATACTTTTACATGTGATAGTTTCCCATTATAAGGGCCTAATACCAAGAACAAGTCATTTGCACAACTTTTGCCCTTGATGCACCTGTCTTTGATATTATTTCTTTACAGGGAAAATGTTGTGTGTGAAACAACTCTCAAGAAATCTTACTGTTAGGGAATTATGTCCACCAGAGATTCACTGGTACACTAGTGCATTCATTTAATTTAAGATTATTAAAATGAACAGTCACATTAAAATTTGTATTCCATAAAGTGGTCTACTTCAGTTTGAGTTGGTAAAGAGCTGAGTATAAAAATCACAGACAGAAATATGTCTCAGCTGCTTTCATTTTTCAGAATGTATCAACCAAAATAAAGTTCAGAACCTAGACTGCTGCTCATCATTAAAAGTTTATGAATGTACTTAGGGCTTTTTTTTTGTCATGGTACTCACCAGTACTGAATACTGGAAGCTTTCCCAAGTCCAAAGGAGTGAATTGGTGGAACTGGTGAAAATTGCTGCAACCTTATATGAGTCAAAGCACTTTTTTATTTTGCAAAAAAAAAAAGGCACTGTGTGTATTGATTAACATTTCCTAATTTGTCTGCTTTCTGCTTAACTCCTCACAGATTTTTCTCATTAATGTGAGAAACAATGTGATGCAAAACTGAGAAGAGAAAGTAATTTAAAATGTAAACTCAATCTAGATAGGAAGGAATATGTTGCTTTCTGACTGTGTTATAGGTGTAAATAACAAACATGCACAAGGGTAAATAGACAATGTCAAAGCTAAGTATTTGACAATCTGAGAGTGTGTAGATTCTCTACCCCCCCCAGACCAGTCCAGGAATGGGAGGGAAAGAATTTTACACTGGAACAATGCATTACACACAAGAATCCAGAGAGATAGGCCCTCTGGATTTAAAACAATAGCCACCAGGAACCTTTAAACTTAACCCCTCACCAACCTGAGATTAGAGGTCCCCAGAATCTCAGTTGGCATGTGGGTTTTACACATTAACAACTCTGTCCAGAGCTGTACAGTTAATCTTACAGGGTAGCAGCATTTGGCGAGCAGCAGGCACCAGGAAAAAGCCTTGGAGTACAGTTACCCAATCCAGACACTATTTATAAACAAGAATAAAGTTTATTCATTTACACATTAACAACTCTGTCCAGAGCTGTACAGTTAATCTTACAGGGTAGCAGCATTTGGCGAGCAGCAGGCACCAGGAAAAAGCCTTGGAGTACAGTTACCCAATCCAGACACTATTTATAAACAAGAATAAAGTTTATTCAGTACAAGCTTAGCAATCAGACTACAAAGATTCAAAATAAGAAAGGCTATGCAATGTTTTGCCTCAACTACACATTAGAGATGCATATTTACCAAGTCAGGAACAGTTATCAGTCCAGAATAGTCCATGGTAATAATCCAATAGCCCCAAGGGATTTGGAGCAAGAAGTCCATCTTTGCCAACCATGAGCTGAGCTCACAAAGCAGTCCTTTGTTCTCT